AGACAGACAGACAGACAGACAGACAGACAGACAGACAGACAGACAGACAGACAGAGACAGACAGACAGAGACAGACAGACAGAGACAGACAGACGGAGAGAGTCTTCAAATACATTCATTCATGTTCTTTATACACAACAGACTTATGTAAAACGGTGAGTAGGCTACTTGGCTCTGAGTTCCAGTTGTTGACCTCCCAGAAAAGACGTTTCGCCTCCCGTCTGCGAGTAGACTATGTCTGTGGGCTGTTGGCGGGTGCTCTTGTGTGGTTTGCTCCTTCTTTCTCCTATCAAAATATATCGTCCTTATAATCTCTGCTTCTTCTTTTTGTGTGTATGTTACTTTCTTGGTAACATATCTAGATCTAGCTCTATTCTTCGGCACTCATTGTGTTGCAAGTGCCGTAAAATCATATGAAAAAAAACCCAACTATGTCTGTGGTACCTATTGGCGTTGTCATGGATATTGTTAGTTGACGTGTTTTTTTTTAAATTAAAAAAATCAAAAACAAATCTATGTGTTTTTAAGTCTCCATCGACGCAATTTAGAACATTGAGGAGGCGGGCTTCGACCCTATACTATACTCTTTAGGGCTAACCCGGGCTGAGCGGGATACAATGTCCCAGCAGAAAGACTGACAGAGAGAGATACATGTCATCATCACTCAGTGCCAGATCTGCGACAGATATCGGCGATCATGGTTCTCCATTCATTCCTTTGTTCGAATGCTCTTAAAAAAGCTACGTTTCCCTGATCTTTCCCCGTTACGATTCCCAGTTGTTGTTTAGTTGAGGTTCCCTAAGCAGGTTGAGATACATGTACTCAATACAAATTCTCCCACCGGGGAATGGAATCAAACCGCCGTCGATTTTTGCATCGGGGACAGGATTGGGCGGCTCATGTTACTTTTTCCAGCATTACTTTAAACAAATTTACATTAATTACTCAGCCTGCCTTAAATTTCCGTTACTTTTGCTTTCTTCCCGTTTGTTGCGAATCGTGGCCGTGGTTTTTGGCATAATTTTTTTGGTCCGCGAATCGCGGGCGCAATTTTTGGTATTTTTTCAAAAGAAAAAAGCTACTTGATAACATACATATTTAGACATGTATTTTGATAATTTTAAGGTGTGCGAGTATAGTTATTTTCATGCAAAGAATATAAATATAAAGTACATTACATACTATTTATAATGCTGTTTGTCTTTTATTTTCCCATCTTTGTTGTGTTTTAAATCTGTTGGTTTGTAAGTTCGTTTTATTATTCTGGTTTGTTTTTCTAATTTTTGTTGTGTTTATTTAGAGTAAAGTAATTAAATTTGATGTTGTTCCTAGCCTTTTAAAATGTATATAAATTTGTTATGTTAGAGCGCGTCTCGACCAAAACCGAATTTTGAACACTGGCAGGCCCTTGAGTGTGATTCCATAAAATTTACTTGTAACACCATGTACTTTATCTTGAATTACACACGTTTAGGGTTAAAAACGGCCAATCTTCAGATAGGTGGACACACGGCTTTATTTGTTAATTTTTGTAGTTGTATATGTGCTGTTCTAGTTTTGATTTCATTCTGTTGGGAAACCTTTATTTATCACGATTTTACACTCTGTGAGGCTACACATGATATTCTGGATGCTTAAAACAGAGCACAAGAAATTCTGGTGCTTAAGATTTAGTTACCTCTATCACTATTATATTGCTATACGACGTCACGGAAAGTTGAAAGCTTGAAACGTAAAGGTAACTTTTATAGCAACTTTTGCCATTTTTGAGGCAACTTTTGGACAAAATAATGGCAACAAACCCAGATGCTAGAAATGACTGTCATATCACTGGCATAGAAACAGCACCAGCATTGCCATTAGGCATGGTGGTAATAATACCACGTCTCACTAAAAACATCTTCATCACCTTTTCTTCATCATCACATTAGCATCATCTTTCCTGTCCTCCATCTAACCATCATGTTGTTGTTGTTTGTTGTTTTCAAATCCCTTTAGCTGCGAGCATTTCGCTCTTGGCGGCGCAATGCCTCCCTCAAGTAACTACATGTCCTTGTCATCTGGTCAACGCCAGAGGCCATCTAACCATCATAACACCACCATCATCACCCTTACCAGCACATCAATAATATTACAAAGACATCATCCTCACCACCATAACACCACCATTACCCATTCTACCATATCAACATAACATCATCCCCAGCATCATATTCATAACACCATCACCACTCTCACCATCGCTACCCTTACATCAGAATCACTGTCAGCACCACCCAAATAACTCATTACAATTCCTGTTTCAGTATGGAATATGAACAGTATTCTTTGAATTCCGGTGGCAATCAGTTAACCCTATCCGTATGTCGTGTTTCACTATCGTATCCATACGACGTGGGCAACTCTGTGCTACCACTTTCCAAAGATGAAATTTACTCATTAATCCGATAGGGTTAAATAAAACAGAAACAATAGTAACAGAAAGATATATAGTAAGTGTACTGATTTTTCTAAAAATGTTTATTCAGATGTAAAGACTAATAATTATTATAATAATAAATAAACAAAAGCATGTGGTAAAAAAGTATCTCTCTTCCCCTAGAAAGATAGCAAAAGTATATCACAGGAAAGAAACTGCTGCCACAAAAACAGCCGGAACTTTACTTCTCAAGCACACAACAGGACAACAATAGAACAAAAATCAAATTCACAAACTTGAAATCACTGAACTGTTGCCTTTGTCATGTGTGCAATTCTCCCACAACTGACTCTCAAAAACTGTCAAACAGAACATCAGGCTCAGTCCTGAGCAAGCCAAATCCTTTTTTACAAAGAGAACACAATAAAAATATGTGAGGCATCGTGGTGAAATCAGGCGCTCGTCAAAATAGTGAAATTAAAGAACCAGGCTTTTTTCTTCCAGTTAGGCAATTTTTATCAAATTTTTGTTTTTTAACTCAACACCTTGTATGTCAATATTAAAAGCATATTTCCATGCGAGTTTTACTGAAAAACGTTGATTAAACCCACAAAAGATGTCATTTTTTTCATTTTTCAAGGACTCTCAAGCTCTTGAAGTTACCAAACTTTGGTGGCCATTTTCTCGCTAATTTTACCTCTAAAACCCAAAGTGACCCCACTGCCTTCAATCGCAAACATCTTGACATCTATTCAAGATAGATGGCTACTTATTTCATTGCCAGCAAGGCAAATGATGCCAATAACTCCACAAGCCCAAAGATTAGCAAGCGCCTGATTCCACCATGTCGTGACACACATAATCATGGTCCGGTGTGTTTTGAATCATAAGAAATCAGATTTTTTACATAGGTGAAAATGTGACCTTGGAGTTGGAGGTTTTTCCGTTGGGGTCTTCATTTGAACTTTCGTTTGTTTTCAGTAGAGGTTTTACGGCGTTCGCAACCGCATAAGGTCATATGAGTGCCAGAAGATTAGAGGTGTTACAAGAGAGTAACAAACATAAAAAAGAAGGACGGGAGATTAGGACGATAGATGTTTGACAGGAAAAAAGAAGCAAACCACACCAAAGCACCCGCTAACCACCCACAATTTGAACTTTGAGTAATTCAACAAAACTTTTCTCTTCCAAGAGAAAAAAAAATGATACCTTGTACATAGGAAAATTGAGCTTAAGTATATGCCAGCTATAAAACTGGTGGTTCAATTTCAACATCTATACAAAAAACCAAGCCACAACCGAAAACACATACACACACACACACACACCCTCACACACACACACACTGACACACACATACAAACACACACACACACACAAGCACAACATGTGTAAATGTCATGAGTAAATTGATAGACAGACCAACTATTTATTCATCAGCTGTTGAGGTTATTGAGGTTACCAAAAAACAAACAGACTTGTCATCCCAGAGCAGAAGTTCTTACAAAACAAAGCCCTGTTTTGTGGTTTTTCTGAACTGGAAGGCACTCTCTTCACGTCAAGCTCCCTCTCTCACTCTCTTTCTCCCCTCTCTCTCTCTCTCTCTCACTCTCTCTCTCAATCTCTCCCTCTTCCTCACCCATTCTTTGTCTCCATCTCACTCATTCTGTGCATAAAGAGGTCTCCAATCAACTCCTCTGTCATCCAGACAGTCAACCAGAAGGCTTAACTATAAATATCAACATGACGTTGTTTTCAAATCCTTTTAACTGCGAGCATTTTGCTCTTGGCAGCGCAATGCCTCCTTCAAGTAACTACATGCCCTAGTCATCTGGTCAACGCCAGAGTAGAGCAGGCTTTGTAAGTCTGTAGGTGTATGTAGGAGCCTGCGTCGAAGAACTACTAGGTTTGGGCAGTGAAGGAGAAGATGTTCAACGGTCTCCTCGTGGTAGTCACAGTGCGTGCAATGGGGTTTCCACATGGGGTTAATTCTGTTTATGTGCTTGTTTGTGTATAAGTGTCCTATAAATATCGACATAAAAGGCCTTGAACATCTCACCTCCATAGAAAAAAACAAGAGACCAAAGAGGAAGAATAAGGCAGCCAGCGGTTTCCACACTCTAGGTAGATTGAAGGAGAAGGGGATCCAAAGAGGAGAGGGGAAACACAGCCATCTGTGCGGACCAGTCCGACGGATCTCCACCAGATTATGATGGAGACTGTAAGCAGACAGACTCTGGGATGGATCCTGAAGAGGGGGGTGGGGTGGGGGGGGGGGTGGGGGGGGGAAGGGGAGCAGAGATGGACATGTTCTGACAGTGACCCCAACACTGAGGACAAGGTGTGACAAAGTGTGTGGGGCAAGACCAGGACAACATAAGGCTTTTTTTTTTAGAGCATCTGAGCAGAGAAATTAGTGGCAAACCATGATTGCCAATCCCGCACTGGAAAAGCACGGGCTGCTTTCTTCATATCTTTGAAAAGGATTTGGAAGACCAGAGATATCTCACTTCGAACAAAGCTGAGGATTTTCAATTCAAATGTGATGTCGGTCCTGTTGTATGAATGTGAGACTTGGAATGTATCACAGACTTGCATAAAGGGGATCCAGGTTTTCTTGAAAAAGGGTTTAAGGAAGTTACTGAGGATCAGTTAGATAGGGTCACCAATGTGGAAGTGTTAAGGAAAACAAGACAGATTCCAGTCAGAGATGAGGTAGGAAAAAGGAGGCGGCGATGGGTTGGACATACTCTCAGGAAGTCAGGCAGCTGCATAACAAAGAAAGCGTAGGATTGGAACCCACAGGGTAAAAGATCAAGGTGAAGACCGTGTGGAACCTGGAGAAGAGTCACGGAAATTGATGTACAGAAAAGTGGGAAGATATGGAATAACATCAAGAGGCTAGCCCAGGATAGAGAAAGGTGGAAAGTGTTTGTCCGTGGCCTATACCCTGGTGCAGGGTGAGAAAGGCAATGGTGATGATCGTCAACATTTGTTTCAGATATGGCACTTGATGATGATACCAATCAGGCTAAATTACCGGATTCTATAAATATTTATTTAGCTTTTTGCAGGTAGAGGACTGACCAGCTGATGATGGAGACAATCAGCCCACCCACACTGAAATGGACCCTTATGAAGAGGGGCAAGGAAGCATGGAGCATCGCGTCTTTCTAAGAACTCAGTTCTACATTCAAGTATTTAAGGGGGTGTAGCTATGGTCAACACCCAAATGCTATAGTTTTTGGTCTAACGCTTGCTTTTCTGCATCAAAGGGGGTGACATAGTACAAAAAAGGGTTACCAAGCAAAAAATTCAAGATTTTAGCCATAACAATCTCGAACCATCAAAAATAAAGGATTGGTTCAGCATTTTTAAAACCAATTTTATATTTTGTCAATCATCAACACTCATCAAGATAGAAGCCTAATATTTGGCATGGCGATTACTGTTGGTAGGTAGAACAACCTTACAGAGTCAAATTTGAATTTTCTGTACTGACTTGTGAGCCTTACAGTCCTTGCTGTGCACCACATTCAGGTCTCCAATGTTTTAAGATTTTGTAAAATAAAACAGGCCTAAAACTCCAAATGTGTACCATAAACAGCAAAAATGCTCCTGTAAAGTTATAGAGAAATGTGTATAAAAGATTGTGTCCAAATGTGAAACACTTCTGACAGTAACTTTCTGAGATCTACTCAAAATAGTGTTGCAACCTGGTCAGATAAACAATTCTGAGAAAACTGCAAAGAGAGATAATTTTTGGTGAAGATTTTCCTACATTGCTGCCTCTCTTAAATGCATTTTCAGCTATTTATAAGTTTGATAAAGGAATTAGGCTTCTAAAGATGGATCCTTGATATTGGTATCTATTAAGATACTCCAAAATCCGAAAACTGATATTTTTTCAAAATTTTTACTGATCTGACCAGTGGATCCCCTTAAGTATTCAAGGTAGAGGACTGAAGGTCTTAACTTTGATGCGCTTGCTCTTCATACGGTGAAAGTCGTTGACCGTGATGGGGGCGGGCAGGGGAAAATCAAACACGACTGGGGCATGCACGGGGCGGTAATTCTTGTTACAGACAGCAGCGTTGATGTAGGTTGTTGTTCCGTCGCTACGGATACCATAGCCTGAAACACAACAAAATTGTTTGAAAAATGTTATTATAGATGGCAGCACTGGTTTCAGGATATTGGTGGCAAGCTCTTCAATTGTTGCAAGCACAGAATGCAACATTATTCAGGAAAGAGAAAGAAATATTTGACTCTTTTAAGAATTATACCCATATTATGTATCTTTTCTTGCTTTTTCTCAATACTAATAGTTTGAATTTCGACAAAATGTTTCTGGAACACATGCAACTGATACCACAGACTAACCCTATCCGTACATCCTGGGGTCATTTTGTACCGCGGGGGTTGTATTCTTCACACTTTAGAATAGATCTACTTCTAGTACGAAGATGTCTTTGAAACTTTCAGTATTACTCAAAACATCATTTTGACAAACTGCTATGCAAAGCGTATGGATTGGATTAACGAGTAAATTTCCTCTTTGGAAAGTGGTGGCACAGAGTTCCTCACGTCGTATGGATATGATAGTAAAACATGACGTATGGATAGGGTGAAAAAACTGAAATAAGAATAAAATTCAAAATTTTGACCTAATTACATCTGAGCAGCTGCCCAACAATATGTAGCGTAGTCATATATGTATACCATAATAACCTGAAAGGAAGAACAAAAAAAGTTATTTATAGACTGCAGCGCTGGTGTCTGTATATATAGCAATACATTAGCTACGGATGATATTATAGTATACAAAGAGTAGGTGGGGGGCAGACTGTTATTGTTAGTGGCATTGGTGTAGAAAAGATTCAGAAAACAGTTTTCTGTCTGATTGTTTGTTTTACTTTACAAAGCACTTCGACTTAACTTAAGAAGGGAGTTTATGTTTAATGGCTTTTTATTTCTATGATTGATTCCACATGATCCTCCTTAATAAAGGAACGTACGGATTGAAATTAGAAATACAAAATAACAAGTATAATAGGAATTTTAAAAAGAGAGAAATGATAACAGGGATCATAATAATATGAGTTTAAAAATAAAAATCTATAAGCATTAATGACTAGCATGAGAGCTTTGCTATCAAAACAATGTATTTGGTTTATCAAAGCAAAAATATATTTTGTAAATTTGTCAAGTAAGGCCTAACCTAAACAAGTGGGCTGGCGCTCAAATGACCTTATGCAGTTGGGAGCGCGGTGAAACCTCTACTAAAACAAAAAAACAAGTGGGTAACAGGGAAAGATCAGGGAAACGTAGCTTTTTTAAGAGCATCTGAGGAGAGGAAAGAATGGAGAACCATGATCGCCGATGTCTGTTGCAGATCTGGCACTGGATGATGATGATGATGGTCAAGAGTAATGACCAATGTTTGGTATAATGACAATTAATAGACGACCAATGTTTGGTATAATAACAATAAATAGCCAGTCTAAATAACAGTTGAGCATTTACCTTCAATGTTAAAAACAATCAGGAAACGACAAATGCAGTTTTTGGGACACCTGAATAGACATAAGGGTCTTGAACATCTCGCACTCACTGGCAAAATTGAGGGCAAGCGAGGCAGGGGTAGGCCCAGAACAACATACTTAGGGAACCTAAACAAATGGGTAACAGGGAAAGATCAGGGAAACATAGCTTTTTTGAGAGCATCCGAGCAAAGGAATGAATGGAAAACCATGATCGCCGAAGTCTGTCGCAGATCTGGCACTGGATAATGATGATGATGATCAAGAGTAATGACAAATGTTTGGTATAATGACAATAAATAGCCGACCAATGTTTGGTATAATAACAATAAATAGCCAGTCTAAATAACAGTAGAGCATTTACCTTCATGAATGTGACCACACACAAAGTACTTGGGTTTGATTCTGCGAGTGACCGAGTTGAAGAGTTCCACACAGCCGGCGTGGTGAGATCTCTTCGTACGGTCCCCAATGCCTGCAAGTTGAAGTGAACAGAAATGAACAACCTCGATTTTTTTTCTCTACCTCTCTCTCTCTTCATCCCTGCCCCCCTCCCCTCTTTCCTTGTATCCCCTGGACTAAACCACCCTCCCTTCCTCCTATTCACTCTCTCCTTGTTCCTGCACCCATCCCCTCTTTCCTTTTTTTATCCTCCTTTCTCTTTCTCTGACTCAATCTCCCTCCCTACGACCCACTCTCTCTGCCCCCCCCCCCCCAACCTTCTTTTTTCTCTCTCTCCCTCTCTCTCTCTGTCCCTTTCTGTCTCTCTCTGTCTCTATCTCTCTCTTTCTCTCTGTCTCTCCACCACACTTTTACACTCCCCCCTAAACACACACACACACACACACACACACACACACACACACACACACACACACACACACACACACACACACGCAAACACCTTCCCCATTCTCTCTCACTCACCCAGCGGTGGCCCATGACTGAGCAATATATCCACTCCTTTGGGAATCAAGTTGTACATCTGCAGCAGCTGATATCCTCGGGGCAGGCCAAACCCATCACTGGCATACACAGGCATCCTGTCCGTGGGGAAAATTAGTTTTGATATAAAAGAAGTCACAAACTATTAAATTTACATCAGAGTAATTGTCTCTACCTTTAATTTTTAAACAAATTGTGGAATGCTTGGTCCCAACAGTGATGCAGAGTTTTGAGTTTCAAAGTAGTTGTTGTAGCTGTTTTTATCATCATTTCTATAGTTGTTGTTGTTGTTGTTGTTATTACTATTGTTGTTGACATTGTAGTCATTGCTGTAATCGTTGTGGCTATTGAGGACAGGTTGCCATTGCACACAGAGATCTGAGTTCAATTCCTGAGTGGGGAGAATTTTAATCACAGGGATGTAAACAGGTTTTGAAAAAAAAGCTGGAAAATATACGGCGCGCCTGCACTGACTGAAATAAGAATACAGTATTACAACATATAATCTCTATTTAGTACACATAATATGTAGGCCAATTGTTTATAGTAGACTTTCGTTAAAAGCTGGAGCCCAAATGGCAAGTTGGCCGGAAAAAACCGGAAGATTTACATCCCTGTAATCAAGTATCTTAGTTTTTCTGCTGGGATGTTGTATCCTGCTCAGTCTTGATCGGTCCTGACAGGCAGGGATGAAGCCCACCTCCTGAATGACCCAAACTGTGTCCATGAGGGTGTAAAAATACCTGCACTGAAAAAATGAAGCAGCTAGCCTACCAGTCTAGCATCCTTAAGTATGGCTAGCCTGCCCGTATAGCTGTACTTAGGTTAGGCCCTATTGACCGAAACCAGTTGAGTACACCGGTCTCATTAATAATCATTCAGGTTTAAAATACATGCTCTGTCAGTAAGGCACCTTTTGGTTTCGTCTCAAATACAAACAGGCCTATTTTAGTTTAGGTATTGCAAACTAAAATTTGTTTTACAGTTCAGTATGCCTATTTTTTGCTGTTTGTAAGTCTAGCCATCATTATTAAGTACGGTTAGCCTAGCCATCTAGCTGTCATTAAGTACGGCTAGCCTCTTCCTTGAAAAAAAAAAAGAGGAAAGGTTGATGATAAGTCCGCACGATGAAAGTTCAAAGCTTCCCCCTAAGCGTAAAAGAAAGAGGCGACTTACCAGGGACATCCGTAGACCTTTATCCCACAAAACTCTATCATGGAATCTTGCAACAGTATCCCTCGGTGTAATATACCTCTCAGATACCTCAGCTCTTCCTGTGCAGAAAGGTAAAAAAAGAAGCATTAAATCTAGTCCAATTGAGAACTAAATCTCAAAAACAATTCTTTCTAGCTAACTATAGAAAATATCATTGATAAAGACTCAAAGCTCATGATAGCACACAACAAACATTTACAGGAGAGCCCCCAAAAAAAGTGCTTTCTAGAGCTCAATTAATTTTGTTCTTTATCTTGATCACGTGACATATTTTCATATTTTCAGCTGTCAAAGTGAATTTTTTATACTACAGTGGCTTGTATACATGGTGCCTCTTAATTCCAAACCAAAATGTTAATATCCAATAATCCTACAGTTACCAGATCTGGAACTTAAAGCAACAATGCTCTTTTTTTTAAGGTTTAGTAAGTAGTAAGTGTTTAACGGCACTTGCAACACAATAAGGCCATATAAGTGCCGAAGATTAGAGGAGTTACAAGAGAGCAACAAACACGAAAAACAAGGAGGGGAGATAAAGACGATAGATGTTTGATAGGAAAGAAGAAGCAAACCACACCAGAGCACCTGCCAACCACCCACTCACACAATACTCATTAAATCAAGAATACATTCACCAACAGTTGGCGTTGAGGAAAAGGTTACAGCCTTGGCCTTGTCCAATATTTGAATAAGTTTTTCAACAGCACAGAATGTGAGACACGATATACAAAAGTAAGACTCACTGAAATCTCTGAAGAGTTATCTCCCCTTGGCAAGCCTTGCTCGCGTCGTGCATGTCCTTTATCGAAACCGTGGCCACGCTGGTCCAATGATGTCTCGTGGTTGCCTGGGATTATTATCTTCAATTTGTGGGGAAGTTGACCTGGAAAAGGAAAAAGGACAGGTGAATTTTTAAAAAAACGTGATAAACGAATTATGCTGCCAAAAAGAATCTGCACCAGAGAGGATCAGCATCAAAGGAGAGATCGTTAAGTTTAAGTAGAGGTTTTACGGTGCTCGCAACTGCATAAGGTCATATAAGTATGAGCGTCAGAAGATTAGATGTGTTACAAGAGAGTAACAAACACAAAAAAGAAGGAGGGGAGATAAGGACAATAAATGTTTGATAGGAAAGAAGAAGCAAACCACTCTAGAGCACCCGCCAACCCCCCACAAGGAGAGATCATGGCCAGGCTCTTCACCATCACACACAGAAGACATGAGCTTGACTCCTGAGTGGGGAGGCTTTTTATCAAGTGATCTCCACCTTGCATAAAGTAAAGAGGATCCAGGTTTTCTTGAACAAGTGTCTAAGAAAGTTATTGAGGATCAGATGGACAGACAGGGACACCACCGAGGAAGAGTTTAAGGAAAACAAGACAGATCCCAGTCAGAGATGAGGTAGGAAGGAGGCAGTGGCGATGGATTGGACATACTCTCAGGAAGTCAGGCAGCTGCATTACAAAGAAAGTGTTGGATTTGAATCCACAGGGTGAAAGATCAAGGGGAAGACCACGTGGAGCCTGGAGAAGAATCACAGAAATTGATTTACAGAAAAGTGGGAAGGCATGGAATAACATCAAGAGGCTAAACCATGATAGAGAAAGGTGGAAAGTGTTTGTCCGTGGCCTACACCCTGGTGCAGGGTGAGAAAGACAATGATGATGATGATGATGATGATGATGATGATGATGATGATGATGATGATGATGATGATGATGATGATGATGATCTCCACCAGTCTGCTGAATGTTGTATTCCTCTAGGCCAGGGTTGGCTCTGACAGGCACCATTGAAGAAGCCTTCGTCCAGGAAATAATTGAAGACATATTGTTAATTGCTCTGATATTCTGACCTTCAGAAATCATTGATGGAGTGTAACATGCTAGTTTACTGACCTAAGAAATCGTTGAAGGCGTGTAGTTCTGGTATACTGCTGTGCATGGTGAAATCTCCAGCGTGTAGCAACACATCTCCATGAGGCACACGATGCACAAAATCTGAGCCCTCCACACGGCTGTGCGTGTCTGACATACAGACAAACCTGAAAAAAGTGAAAGGAGGCATATTTTACATATGTGAGGCAGCATGTTGAAATCAGGTGCTCGTCAAAATAGTGAAATCGAAGAAACAGGCATTTTAACCGCCAGTTTGGCAATTTTTGTTTTATGGCTCAACACCTTCTATGCCCGTATGAAAACACATTTCTATGGAAATTTTACCGAAAAACATTGATTATTAAAGTTTTAAAAAAGTGATTTTTCAGTTTTCAAAGATTTGCAAGCTATTGAAGTTACCAGACTCTGGCAACCATTTTCTCACTAATTTATCTATGAAACCAAGTGACCCCATCTCCTTCAATCGCAAATATTTCGACTTCTATTCAAGACTGATGGGATTTTTTAAAAATCGAAAGCAAGGCAAATGAACAAACTTTCAGATGATACCAATAACTCTTCATGGCCAAAAATTGATAGGTGCCTGATGGCAGACTCTCATCATAGAAAAGCTCCCCATCAATTGCTTCAGACTGTTATTGGATTCTGTGAGAGGATTGCTCAAACAAACTTTCTCTAACTGGAAACTGACAGTGGCATCTCAGGTATTCATCTGTAGTGGAAAAGAAAAACTCGTATTGAAGATAAAAATGGGTAAAATTCTTTTATCAAAATCAAGGTGAATGTACAAGTTTTCAGGCGATCCACATGCCCAAAAATTGACAAGCGCCAGATTCCACAGCGTCATGCCACAAATAGCCAGAGTAGCATTTCTAGGAGATCTTGTAATAAAAGCCCAGAAGAGAAACCCAAAGGAAAAACTGAATCAGAATCAAAATTAGGAATGAGGCGTTACCTCAGAATTGATCTTTTGTACTGTACCTGAGAAAATGCTTCCTATCCCCCTCAACAATGAGTTCGTCTGGCTTCATGTCCCGTAGATCTGGCACCTTGACCTTCAACCTCTCCCAAGCATCGGCTGGATACGAAGAGTCTTCATCAATCTCAATAAAATCTTCATCAATGTCTTCTTCACCTTCACAACAAGTTGCAAATCCATCCTGTGGGTGTGATGCTCCTTCAACACCATGGGCACCAGCCCCACTGCTATTTACACACTCATCCTCAGCCGACTCTGAACAAAGTCCTTTAGGTAAACACTTGACTTTCTTCTTAGGCATCAATTTCGGCGCCGAATGAGTAGGATCGTCAGGCAAATCATCGCCAGTTGATCCTGGAGAAGCTCCTTTACAGGGTGAAGTCTTGGCTTTGTCCATCTTTTAATTTGGGGATGAATGTATAAAGGCTGCTAAGAATTATTAGTAGATCTAGATCTAGTTTCTAATCTAGACTTCATGAGGTTACAATTCAAAACTATAATTTCTGGAGAGTCTTCGTCTTGGTACGGGATCAGAGAGAATACCAGGAAGTAAAAAACTCAGCTCTCTCAAAGGACACAAACGTCTCCTGTCCTGAAGTCAGTTCTGTCACACTTGAATCAAATTATTATCACACTTTGCTTTAGTAAGACTTAGACAGGCCTAATTTTTAATTTGCATTGCTTAGACTTAGATCAACAAAGCCTCAGCTGTAATTACGCTACATACTCCACACAAATAGTTTTCATCTTGACAGTTAAGTTTACAGTACCAGTTCTACTTCACTCGACACACCCGGTGCAGCACACATCACACGATTGTTTACATTTTAAAAATAAATAATTACATAACAATAACGACACGACGACCCCGACCTCTTATCCGACGATATTTTATAGCAGAAGCAGACCTTGGCTTTACTTGTTTTCAAAGGACTGGGATAAAAAAAAACAGCCATGCAGAGAGTAAGGAGGGGGGTCATCTGCACATGATAACACAGGGAAAATAAAATGAACCCCGGTAAAAGGTAAAAGGCTACTCTTTTTTCAACATCATCTCAAAGACAGTGGCAACATCGAGCAACATCAGTTACTATGTTTAGCTTCGGAAAGGCGGAAGTAGAATATTATGGTCTCCAACAACGATCATTTGACCGGCTTGTTGTCATTTTACCAGTGAAAGGAATCCACAGAAATTAAAAGAATTATGAGTCGAATCACGGGGAAAATCAATATGTTTAGCTGGATAACTATTTAGACAACAAAAGAAAACTCAGGACCAATCATTTTCACCATATGATATAGGTAACGTAAAAAAAGTAACACAAACATTGAATTGTATAGGAGTCTGATACCTGGACCAAATAATGTAGGTGTAGCTTAGTTCTAGCAGTCATGTAATAAAAAGACACGCAAGGAGTTTCGTTCGAGGTTTTAACAGGACGCACCTTAGAATTAATTTTTATTAAAACTACGACTTATTTTTATACTAGTCTTTCTCTGTCACGCATCAGTTCAAGTTTTTTGGAGTAAATTTTCTTGGATATCTGTGCCTCTTTAGCTCTTTACCTTCCCAAGGGAAAGTAAGATGTTCAAGGCCTTTATGTTAAGTCAAGGTGCCTTAATCATTAGGCCTATAATCTTTGCTGTCGATGGGTGACGGTTAATTTTGAGGAACATATCCCTCAGCTCCAAGACCAGACATCCACACCAGGGCAATGCTACCGACTGAAGTGCTTTTAGGCCATTTCCAAAGGTGGGATATTAACCTGTTCATATGCACAGCATCCGAACAAAGGAATGAATGAAAAATCATGATCGCCGATGTCTGTAGCAGCAAATCTGGCACTTGATGATGATGATGATGATGATGATGATGATGATGATGATGATGATGATGATGATGATGATGATGATGATGATGATGATGAT